GGGTGGTTTCCACAATCCATGGCAAAGTGTCCTTTCTCACCGCACTTTAGACAGAGCCCCATCTTCATGCGGAGGTCCCTCGCTGATTCTGACAGGCGTTGAGGCCGCTGCTTTGGCATAGTGGACGTAGAGGGTCGGCCTCCAGTCGCAGCCAGGTCGAGTTTGATCATGTTGAGACGGTCTTCAGCGTTTTCAGCTTCCTGTATCCAAGCCATTAGGGAGATAGGGTTGACCGACCGTAAAACAGTCTCTCGTATTTCAGCATTTAGTCCCAGTCGGTACATCTCCGCTAAAATGTGATCTGGGCAATCTCGCAGCTTCGCGGCTTGTTTGTGGAATTCACGTGTGTATTCTCGAACAGAATTCCGGTTCTGCCGGTAGGTACGCAGGAACGCTCTTGCTCTTTGGCTCGCGTTGACATCCTCAAATCTAGCCCTGAGCGCCCACATGAATGCGCGTAAATTGAAGAGTTCCGGACCGCGGTCATTGTGCAGCCCAACATACCATGTGGCGGCGTCTCCTTTCAGCCTTGCTGAGATGACATCGATTAGCGCTCCCTCATCACGGAATAAGTGCCGGCTCTCCGCAACGAACTTTTGAACTCGCACCGTGAAATAAGCGAGGTCATCCGGGTTGCCGTCAAACGTAGCTTCCAGGAGATCTTTAGGTCGAGGTCGCGGAGTTCTCATCGCAGGGCCCAGCGGTGCCTGACCCCCCATGAGAGGAGGGCCCGGGACCGCTGGTGGAACCCGCAGTGGCACCATCGGCGGCGGTAGACCAGGTCCCGGAGGCCCTTGCGGACCCCCCGGCGGTGGCAGCGGTGCAGGCACTCCCGGAGCAGGTGGCGCTTGTGGAGGTGGTAGTACCGGCGGCGGAGCATGCAGAGGTGGCGCGGGTGGTCCTTGTGCAGGCGGGACTTGTGGTTGCGGGGCATAATCTGCTAGGAAATTAGTCATTCGAATGTCCATCATCCCCGGCAACGCTTCCCTCACATCGTGGACCGTGCGCATCAGATCCCTCACCGATTGTTCCAGCTCCTCCAGCCGTTCCCCGGTCGACTCCTCCGGGATCGGCTCCCGGGGTTGGTATTCAGGAGGCGGCCCATAGTCTCCCTCCGTCTGGAAGTCTGCAGCTCCCTCCGAGGATCTTGCACGGGCCCCGTCCCCCACCGGCTCAAACATCCAGTTTTCCACGTCTCTCCGATAACTCCCAGTCTCCCCCGAACTCCCGGAGTCGGGAAACATTCCCTTGTCAAAAAGACTTTCTCGAAGCCCACTGCCTCGACGGGAGTACACCTCCCTGGTGCCTTGGGTGTTGTACAAAGCCCAGTCGTCCTGCGCCGGTGTCTTCCGCGCACCCCAATTCGAAGGGGTTGGAGGCGGCCAAGACAGGTAGGCAGGCAGTCGGGGAATCGCTCCCCCCACAGCACCTTCTCCTGGTGCGGTAGTCATAAACATCAAAGGTGCGGAGGTAGTTGGGACCGATCCCGTGTCCCCCTCCGTGGTAGGTAGGTTTCCCTCAGACCCGCTCATGGTCACGCCAGAATCGGGACAATAGGAGAAAAGGAGTTCTAACAATATGTTGGATCCCCAAGCATCGAGAATAAATCCACGTTTCAAAGAAAGTAAAGTTTATTTCAAAGCATTGGAAAGATACTCAAACACGTTCTTTGTTAGAACTGAACACAAGCAGTTAGGGCAGACATGATAAAGGGATTCAAGTTAGAAACACAACCAATGGATAACGTTCCCGCTGGCGGGCAGGAGAAAACGGTTGCCTGCTCAAGTCTTGGGAACCAGGCGAACGGTAGACAAAACACAGGTGCAGTTCACAGGCTTGGTGCAGTTCACAGGCTTGATAAGTAAGAAGCTAACAGCGAAGCATACTCTCCCCCTCACATCCTCCAGTTGTTTTACTTTGGCATTACAGCATAGAAAACACAGGGGCCAGCTGGCAGGGACAGGGATCACATATGTACAATCAGAAGTTACACAGCAGACTAGAAGGTCGGTAGTTCAGCAGTTCAAGACCCGAGTGCCGCACGACGGAGTGAGCTCCTGTCTTTGCTCCCAGCTCCTGACAGCCCTAGCAGTTCAAAAGCAAGAAATTGCAAGTAGATAAAGAGGTACCACTTCGGTGGGAAGGTAACAGCGTTCTGTGCGCCTTGGTGTTTAAAAAAAAAAAAGACAGGCATTCAGATTAATTTAACTTTAGTCAACTGCCCCCTTAAAAATTTAAATGCCGCCCGAACAAAAAGAATCCTGGCTGTGGGCCAGTCGCAGCACAGATGGGCTCCAGTCCTTGTAATGTATTCAATAGCTGCCACTGAATGCATGATGTATGTGAAACATCTAATTGACTTGCCATGTTGAGCTTCGTCCTGGGCTAGGATCCAAATCCATCCAATCACATTGCTAGCCCAGGAAGCACCTAGCCAATCCCTTTACAGCAAGCTCCCTGAGCGGGAACGTCCGTGATTGGTCCTTATCTGAACAACCGTATTGGTTGGTATTTGTACAGTGGGTGTGGCTACATTAGCCGGGAGAGTTTAAAAGCAGGACAGCTGCAATGTAAAAGCTGAACTGTTCTGTTCTGGCTATCAGATGTTGATCTGTGTTGGAGTTGTGTTCGAGTTGAAGAATAAACTTGTCTTCTTGCTGAATCACTCTCCGACTGCTT